GACTGCTGTGTCGAGCACTTCTGGTCAGCAAGTGTAGGCATGCCGCGAGCTCGCAACTGCGTTTTTGGCGACCAAGGACCCGTGCTTCCTCGGTGCCAGCGCGTCGCCCACTCATGTAAATGGAAGTATGCATACCTTGTAGAAGCATACGAAGCAGTGGATGGTGGAATCGTTCTCTGAGCGCATGACCCTCTTATCAACACCAAGAATAATCCACGGTCTCCACGATTTCCGCGCAATGTTCAGCAGGATTAGGTGAATGGGGAACCAAACTTGACATGCCACTTATAGATAGGTTTCGAATCCCAATCGCTAGTTAACTGTACTCCATCTATTTCTACCCATCCAGAGTCTTAATTGCCACCACTTCACCTGGCTGCGTGACCAGTCATGAACAAGGCAGAGGTGCGTGGAGTTACTGCGTGTCGAATTACCGGACCCTTGCGATTCTCGCGGACGATAACTACATTTACAGGGCCTTTCCGGCATGGTGCGGTTAAGACTTCAATAGCGCCCTTGCATTCTCTCCCTTGATCTAGACCGCTGCTCAATGCAGTCAACGGTTTTAACGTCTTTCTTCCGCTCTTTGCTGCTTGATTTTGCCACTTTTTAATGCTTTCACTTTTTTCCACTGCTTTTATTGTCCTGGTTGCCTGTCCAAAGTTTACTTGACTCTATCAACTTAACTGAATCATTCTTGCGCATTCATGAACCACATTATCGCTTTTCTCTCCGATTTTGTGTCTAGCATCTCATGTTGACGGATTCATCCTGCCTGCTGTAGTTACCAGTGCTAACAGACGAAACCGTTCTGTTGGTTTCTGGTTTCTTATCCCAAACCATTTGTCCTCCTCTACTTCTGCTAATTCTTCACCGAAAGTACTGAAATCAACTAAGATGCAGAACAGCACATCATGGCCTTATGCATAGTAAGACTGTCCCATGCAAACTCTCCTCCATGTCACATTGAAGCACTCAGGCTGGTAAATACGCCTTTCATACCTATTAAACCACTTATTAACAGCCGTGTACGGTTTCATCGAGGTTATTTGTTTCGGCGTTATCCCATGGTTCACTGCGTCTTACCTTTCATTTTCGTCTGTATGTTCTTCCTAACCGAATGACTTCTTTGAGCGATTTCCTTTGCCTTTCTGTTGAATATGCGTCACCTTTAAGTGTTTCAGGTGCTTTAATGTTCTAAGTATTTTATTGTAACAGATATACACTGTCTCAGCGAAAAAGCTTGAATATCGTTCTTTTTGGCTGCTCTCTGTCAATCACTTACATATGATTGATCGGTCGACTGAACGAATGAAGCTCGGTACTTTGCTCATTCTTAATCAATATCAGCAAGTAATGAACCGCTGAAGCCATCGGAATCGTATTTTTTTCAGAGCCGCAGCTCAGTCAATGCAAGACTGGTCACACCATCGAGCTGTTTACACGGGTTGGACACTAGCCGCCGAATGTTGAATCTTTTGGTAAAGTATAGGACGTGTAATTTTTTCGTCTTCCGATTAGTTGAAAGCTGATTGTGAGTGTTGCCACTTGTCACAGGCAAATAAAAGTCACGTTCTTGATCTAACAAGCAAATTACAATCACTCAGCACAAAGTTCCATAAAGTATTCTCCGCATACCTCGCAGCTGCTGCCTTTCAGTCCTATCAACTTGTATACTACTGCATGAGGAGATAGGCCTACATAATTGACTGTGTGGTATTGTACATCTGCTCGAACGCAACCTCTTAGTAGCACTTGCTTACGGAGTGACAATCCCGGTGATGAAACTACTCGCCATTTAGTTTTTCTTTAATGTCGGTGCACCAAGCATCCCACACTTCAGAACGGTTAGCTTTGGGAACTGATTCGAGCGTATCTTTGTGACAGCACGGGAAGCTGTGACCACTTGAGTCCAGTTTGTTTGGTTCTCTATTGTGATACTGTGCTCTCACCATTGACTCGATGGACCGCTCCGTTTGATTTTCTGGGGAATCGTTCATGCATGAGAGTGGTGTACCAAGATGGTGAGAATATGCATTCTTGTGCAGCTTCCATCAGCGTTTCGAAGTGTTTTCTTGGATTGGTGCTCGTTAAATCACGAATACGATAGCCCATAGTCATAGGTACGATTTTCAGTTTCCAAATCAGTCTTACTTACTTATTCACTACGATATCCCTACAGCGGTTGTCAGGACTGGGTGCCACCAACATTATTGTGCGAATCAGATAGGACCGTCTAGCGCTGAAGACAATAACAGTTTTAACCATTCATGGCTGCAGGGAAGTCCTCATATCTCCTTGAAAGATCAAATGGACAGCAATGACGTACGCCACCTTGTCTTTATCAGCAAGTCCTTCGGCGTCCGAGTTAGTTCTGTTGAGTAGAGATCCTTTGAACTGGTTAAATCAGCTCGTTCTACTGTTTACAGACCAGCTCCTAAGGCGGGTATTGTTTACCTATATTGTACCTGATTGGTCAAAACTTCGTGGTTTTTTATCCGTTGAACTGTCAAAGACTTCTGAGGAAATTGATGGGATAGCTGTGTTGTTGGTCCATGTCGCCTTCCTGAGAGGGCAGCTTAACAGTTACAAATCCTGTCCTAAAGTGCGTAGCTCGCTCGCACACAGTCCAGACTTGCATTTAACCTTTGTATTCTTTTTCTAGCGTTCCTATTTAGCTATCATACACATTTTCGATTGCAGCCTGATTTCCCTCATCCACCGAACCGTTGCCAACTAGTAATATGCCAGTATGAGGCATGGCGACTGGAATCGTATTTGTCCAAACTAATCACATCGAAATTTGGTCCACTGTGCTTGCCCGACCATAGCTTACCCCCACATTCGATTCCACAGGATTGCTTGTGCATCATCTTGATAAACCGCTTTATGCTGCTCTGGTTATATCCCATTGCTAGAGAAGTCTGACGACGAACTGCGCAGTATTTCTATATGCTCACTCGTCCTTATCCAACTGCATCTGCGGGTCGGCTTGGGTTTCATTCTCAGTACAAAAAGGGCATCAGCAGTACGCCGGTACGGTACCGAAGCTTTGCTGACACGCAACCATCATTAGTCGCACTTGGGCTAAGGATACTGAGAGGGGCGCCCAGTCCCATACGCATGCTCGAACCAGCGACCTCCGGATAACAAGGCAGACATTTGATTCTTCTGGCCTCGGGGCGGCATTCTTAGTACGCACCATCAACGGAACTTTACACCCATTCGGGTGCATACTGGGAATCTAAAGAAAAATTTGGCTTCATCCTTACGCTTTCCATTGAAGCAGCTGCTCGCTAACCAGCTTTTAATTTAATAATAATAATAATAATAATAATAGTAATAATAATAACATTAATAACGTATATTTTCGGTTTTGTGAGACATGCCCTTTCCCGCTTCGTCTAGTCTTAGGTGCGGAGGGACGATACTCCTCAAATAAAGTATTTACTGTCCCTATCGAATGGGTATCTAAACTGATGTACCATCCTTTCTGATGGTGTACGCCTTTTGATGCATCTATTTTCTTCCCTGAGACGTTGTGGATTCTCATGCTATCTAATTGCTTTTTTCCATCAGTTCTCCTTAGTCGGACGTTTCCCACCGCGTGCTTCGTTGCTTACGTGTACTATTGTCATCGTCCTTGTCCATACTCTTCCAAACGGTGTCAATCCGTGCCCACCAGCAGTTCGATCGATTCCGATTTCGCACTGCACACAAACACACTGCAGTGTTCGCTCTTTTGCCGACACGCGTCCGCCTAACCGTCTGAAAAGTTGCGCCACCCCATCCAAGCGCATTTCTGTCCGGTGCTTTCGCCAGTGCGTTTCCGCATTCTGACGGATCATGCAGTAGGCGCATGACCACGTGATGACCTTGACCAACGAATGCCTTGTGGTCAATGCCTTCCCCATTGATCGCTGATTGGTTATCGCTACCGCGTCGCGAATCTGGAGTACGTGTCTATTGCCTGTAACCGTGGCGTGCCTGATTACAGCACAACCGATCTACTCCACTCCTGGGTCAATCCTTAAAATCATTATCACACCGAAAGCTGTTTTCACCCATTTACAAATCCGGTCCACCAAATCCTTTAAATCTGGTCGTTAAGTTCCATAGAGCTTGTCGCTGCGTTTTTACTACCACCATATTAACCACCGAGCTGGGAGAATACGAACTTGGCGACCCGGCAGGACAAAATTGATGCTTGACGCTTTTTGGATGTTGCTTGTTGTCTGATCAGGTCCACTTGTGATAACTTCAGGCCTTCCCGTCCTAAGTACTCAGATAGCGATTTCTGGTATACATGTTCACAGTCTGGCCGCACGTCTGATCAGTTCATCCATCCCCCGGTGTTATTGTTGCTTGGATGACAAATTTTTCATACATCAATGCTTACGAGGTTCGTGGAGCCAACACAAATTCGTCACTTAATTGTTTTGCATGGCTGATTTGTATTATGCTGTAAACTAACTGAAATTTGCCACCTAGAATGTCCAGCTGGTCTTCTCTAACTCGTAACAACGTGATTACAGAGATACGTAGTTTGGCTGAATTAGTTTCACAACGACGATGCCTCTACTCGAGTCCCACGCCAAACTATGAGATAGTATACTTGTAACTCGAATCCGAGCAGTTGATGATGACTTGACGATTGCTTTTCCGGAGTTTGAATTCGTGCTTATCAACCTACTCTCGGGCTATTTTCTGCGGGTGCATTTCAGTCACTAGTCTTTACTTGTAACCCGTCTTTCCAGTTATGATTAGTTAGTGATTCTTCCTACTTCTGAGTGTTCGTACCCACTGATAACCGCTCTGTGATAGTAATCCACGAGTGCGCTGCCCAGTAGTTATGCCAGCTACTGGGGGTAAAGTTCCACTCTTTTTAAGTCCCTTTCGCATGTAAGATAACATTCTTATGAAGCCCATCCTTAACTTATTAACCAATAATAACTCCATGTGTACAACCCATTCACCGGTACTTCTCCTCTTTTGTTTAGGATATTCAGGAGTTGGTCCAAAAATATCTCTTGGAGGCCACTTTGTGTCGTGTGTGCATGGACGCTCAGATATCCCGTGTCTTCATACCTTGTGGGCATATCATCTGTTGCGGCGACTGTGCGGACCGAATAGAACAGTGTTCCATTTGCCGCCAACCTATCGAGATTCGCCATCCGTGTTTTCTACCTTGGAACAATGAGATGGGTGTGGATAGTCAAACGCAGTCAGAGTCTCGAAGCGCTCGTCTAGCATCCCTTCGTTCTGATGCGTCATCCTCAGCTTCCACCATGCTAATGCACACGGCCTCCGCCCCGACTTGTAACCTCTTCTCCCTGCCCTCCACAGCTTGTCTTAGTATGCTTTCTTCCACACAGCTTGAAGGAGGGCGAAATCCGGTCTCCGCAAACAGCGGTAGTGGCGATGAACAAGAGCCGGCTCCACCTCATCAAAATGTTTCCCATGACTCTTCCCCTTCACTCCCAGAGTGTTCCGTCTCAATGGGACCAACATCTGAAGCTCCTTCGTCCTCGACGTGCGCCGGTGGTAGTACTGTTGAGACCGCCGTTCGTCGGCCTGCACACCTCACTTGGCAAATCGAGTGATCGATTTATACTCCAGCCTGCTAGATTAACCCTGTCCGGCGTTCGGCCACCTGTAAAGCATTTTGTTACAGTTTACAATCACCAGTTTAACGAAGCCCGTACCAAAGATTGTCAGATGGGTCATTTATTCTTCCACTTTCTTTTCCACCGCAAAATTCTGTTTAATTCTTCACTCCACGCCAATCCGCTAGATTAATGTCCTGGTGCCCAGTCACTGCAGTATATCTGTTGATAGACTTCTCCTCGTCGGTACCTTGGTCCATGACTGTGGTGGTTCTGGTCACTGCTGATCGTATACCCCCTTTCCCTGTTCGGTTTGTGGTTTCTCCCGAACCAACGCTGCGCCACCATCAAGCAAGCTTCCTTATTTTCCAGCCCGTGTGGTGTGCATTATCAATCATTGGTTTACATTTCTGTTCATCTTGCGCTGTTGATCATTATTGCTCCATCGGGTTGAGCTGTCGTCCACTATGTACATATAAACTCGGTGCATCCTGAATTTTCGGTTTACGCCTTATACTTCCCTCCTCTTCAGCCGCAGCGGACCGCAAACACATAATTACGTAACTAGACGTTCACATGATTCGATGGTTTGGTCATCTCTAGTAACCCCAGGTATACCAACTGAAGCCTTCCAAGTACCCACTTTTCATTACCATACAAGTAACTTACCAGCAGTTAGAAGACTCTGGTCCTTATATCCATCTCGCGTCGATGGTACTCTTCTCCCACTTCTCAGCCTTAAAAAGGGTAACAACTGTTCGCGGGCTGTAGACTCAGGTTCATTTACATAGAGCACCGTTTTACCTGGATCACTTATGACCCATATTGCTCACTGGTTTACCTAATGTTACTCCTGACCAATACCCACGAAGACTCAGCTGCAATTGGCTGTGGTCGAAAATGTGTCTCCCGCTATGCTCAGAAACCTTGGAGGAATCGTTCAGTTTTCAAGGTTGCAGAGGAGCGGTCTGAGGCAAACCCAATTGGAATATACAGTCGAATAATCTAAGTCAGTGGTCAAACTTTTTACACAGCGGGCCGGACAACTGGAAAAGATAACTTACGCGGACCGGAAAGCTGACAAAATGGTTAGCGTGGGCCGCATAATCAGTATGCACAATAGTTGAAAGCCAGAACGTAAACTCTGAGAAAATAGACAAAGAGAGCGCGACACTCGGTATCAGTTGATAAATGGATTCATATGTGATCACTCACATCGATGTTCCAACGATTTGGGGTCGCAAATAAAACGGCAATACGGTATCACAAGTAACAACCATGAGATGGCTCATAATGATGTATTAGTTCATCGACAACATGACATGCAGTGTCGAATGTAAACTACATTGCAGCATCTCGTGTTCCCTACGCCCCACCAAGCAAAATCGGGCACAGTCGGCGGGCCGGGTAAATTGACGTCGCGGACCGAAATCTTGTGCCCCCTGATCTAGCTGTATCCGTCCCTAGTTGTCTTGCAAGCACGACTATTCAATTAGGGGAAAGTAGTATAACCTGGTGTCATCATTTCTCGGAATGCGTAATCCGTCTACAAACTCGATTCGTATTTTTTGCCACATTCCTCCACAGTTTCACCGACAAAAAGGCTGTTCTTACACACTCAATTGGCGCTTTGGAATTGTCTTTTACGCCCATTTCACCTAGGACCAATGCTTCTTGTCGGTTCATTCAACATCGAACGCTACTACCTCCTTTGTATCCACTACGACCTGGCATACACTGTCTCCAAAACACAGATGCAGGATTGTAGCTTCGCACAGCACCTTCGATCACCTGTCCCGCACGGTCGTGACGACACCACACAGTTTTTGATGAATCAGGTTGTTTCCAGTGTCTGAGTCACTCCGAGAAGCCAGGCCACAGGCCTTCTACTTCAATAGGTATTAGTGTATAGTCAGGAATGGACATCTTAGGATCTAACACATCGTTCGTTGGATACTCTTATCTAACATAGAGTAACCAACGACGGCTCTGCAATCGATTTCTTAATCTAAGTGTTAACTGCTTCTCAAGCGTGCACTGGCTTGGGTTTTCTTTACTTCTTGTCCTGCGTACTCTGTACGGTTTCTTCTTTTTATTTGTGTTACGATTATGGCCATCCCAGTCATAGCAACTGACTCTACCCCACTTCAGTCCTTGAGACATCGTTGCTTGGCTGCGCTAAGCCAAGTGAATGGTAAGTAATACCCTAATTGATTTAACACGCAGTGCAGGTTAAAGCTCGAAATTATCGAAGACAATTTCTATCGGCATCTGTGGTCCGTATGACCATGAATAGAGAGGTACGTTGATCGCTTCAGATGGTATAAATATTCCATTTCGTGGCTTATGAGACTCCCGGGTGGCTATTTATCGTTCTGTGCTCTTTAACCTAATAGTGGTGGTTGACGTCCTCGACTGCGTGCCGACCAGTCTCTCAACACAAACATTCGCATCACGTTCCTCGGTCTCCCTTGGACTCTGTGCTACCGTGGGCCTCAGATAGTTGGACAGCAAGTTGCACGCACCAACTCATGATTGTTGCTCGACTTGGACTATCCTCCCTGTTTCCCATCGTTATCTGTCATTCTGTTGATGTACCTGGGCTTGTCTGCAGACACGTCTTTTACGTAGTTCCTTAGATTCGGGCCCATGATCCTTCAATTTTAGTCTTCCGTTTATGCCCCCAGCTTATGGATGACGCCGGCTGCAAACACTTCCATTACTCCCTAAAACCTAGCACTCATCCGAGTCGGCTAGTTCAATGGACCTAATTAAAGTAGATGGCATTGCGGGATGAGCCGCGCCATATCACAATCATGCTAGTCCAACGCCACTACCCACGGGCTGTTTGACGGTGACTGGCTGCGAAGACTTCTCTCAAAAGTTATTCTAAAGGCTCCTCACTAATTTATGAGAGCTATTCATCACCACCGGACCTCATGGAGTGACGATCGAAATCGCTAGCACATCATCCAGATTATCCTGGAGGCTGCTTGTCTTTCCCACTTGAGGCGTTCTAGCGGTGAACAAGTATTAGCTTCTTCGGGTGGTTTGCATGGAGCACTGCCCATAGTCCCGTTAAATGTTCACTAACAACCTACTCTGGGTACCTCAGGATTGATTGGGAAGGTTGGTGCGTAGCGAACTGCAAACTCAGCTCATTTGGTGCACCGGTTCAAGGAAGTTCACAGTGAAGCAGTGGATAAGGGATTAGCAGTCGGTCTTTTCGAATGCTAAGGAAGAACATTTCTATCAGATAGTCTGGATGCCTCTATTTCGTGTATTCTCGTCAGCCGTTTACATACAGTTCCTAGGATGATTAGGTCGCATGCATAAGAAGTCAAATTGTTGGGTCGATGGTGGTCAATGTCCATTTGAATGACCGGCGTCCGCTTAGAGGAACGTGGCCACCATCCTCACCATAATGGCTTCGAATTCGGTCTACATACTGAAAGTTGGTTTCAGTCACTGATTCGCCGGAACTGTAACATGTGAGCCCTGCTCTGTCGGTTGCTTATTCTACATGAGCCACGCTGTTCTTCATGCATGGAAAAGTCAAATATTTGTCGAACCAGCGGGCGCTTTTGTAGCACCCGCGATTCGATTGCGCGGAATGTGCTCTGAAATCCTTGTGGACCGTCTCCTATTAGTCCAACCAGTGTACTTACTACCGCAAGTGAAGTACACGAGGTAAATGCATGAGGCGGTAGTTTGGGTGTCTGGCCTGTCCAAAATAGATGTAAACAGGAACTTCCTAGTTTGTTATAAATCCACAAATTCGGCACTGTAGTAACACATTTTATGTATTGCTAGATATGCTATTGGAATATTCTCTCATTTTTGTACCCTTTGAATAGCAACACTATAGACTCTTCTTCCTTAGGTACGTCAATCGACCGATGACAAACGGTTCGTCAAGTTCTTCTGACCGGAATGCCGGTCAGCGTCAGATGAACTTTGACCACTATCGATCCATCAAAAATGTTGCACTTTGCTTGTTTTCGTATGCAACCTGATCTTTCCTCGAAGTATGTGTAAGCAGTTGACAGCATACACGAAATACTTGAATTCAACTTATACTGTAGAATTTTGCTGTCCCTTGCTATTTTGAAATTTTTGAACAAGTATTTTTGGACTACTCCTTCTAGATATATGTCGTTATGCATAATCTAGTGAAATTACCTAGTCATCTTGTCTCAGACCTGCATTCTCATGCAGTGGGTGAAGATTTCGTGGATCAGTGGCATTCACCGACACTGACTAACTCGAAATGATGCTGCTGATGCGAACTAGAGCTCCCAACCTTAATGCCCCCTTACATCGTTTCCGAGCTCACTTGCCATTCACTGACTTTCCTATCATATCAAATGGTATACTACCTTCTGTTTTAATCAGCAAGGTACCAATCGCATTACCTTCACCTCTAGGCAGATCACCCAAATAAAGCTCTACAGACATAGCAGACTCTAGGAAAGCGACAAAGGAACAAAAGGCTACAAAATCAGTCTTGTTTGCTACTTTCATCTTACAAACGCAGCATTTTTGCGCCTTTCCACTTTGGCTGCTTCTGTAAACTATTTACCAGCTAACTGACTAACATGCGTAGAGTACAGGTATGGCAGAGTTATTTGTCGTCATGCTCCTTCGATCAATTTAGGGCAACGTGCAGCATGCCCCGATGTGCTTCCTGTCTTCAAGCATCAAGATATTGATGCGGGCGCTGCCAGTCAATTCGGGCTTTGCTTCGCACTCGAAGTACAAACAGTTCCTCCAAGATTGGCTTGGATCGTCTCCTACGCTGACCATTAGTGAGGACCAGCTAGAAGTTGTTCAGGAATTCAACTACCTGGAAAGTTGTATCAGCGCCCTTGGGGTAGAAGACGAGATCATGAACCGTAGAGATAAAGCTCGAAGTCCTTTTGCTAACCTTCGCCACCTATGGCGCCGGCGCGACATTAATCTCACCCTGAAGGGTAGAGTTAACAATGCAGTGATGCGTTCGCCCCTACTGTACGGTTGAGACCTGGCCTCTTAGATCAATGAACATGAAGAGGCTAGTACGTAGACCAGCGATCTCTTCGCAATTTAGCACAAATCTGGTGGAAACATCGAATAATCAACGAGCGGGTTCGACGCATTGTTTACGGTACAAGAAGAGGAAATGAACCCCTCAGCACCGTTATTTCACGCACCAGGATCCGATCGCTCGGCCACGTAATACGCATGTTGTTTCACAACTCTCGCGATGCGCGTTGCTTGCGCAACGAGGGTGTGGATGGAAGAAGCGGAGCTGTAGCTAAGTTATAACTCGGTCGACAGGAATAAAAACCCTCATTTCGAATCTGGCCTCAGCTCCCTGATTGTGGTCCGAAAGACGATGAACACGTTTGGCTGGATAAATTAGACATTTAG